CTCTGAAAATTGGAATGGGGACATATAAGCAGATTTCAGTGAAACTGGGTCCTTGAGCCCCTATATCTTACTGAGACTCTTTTGCCAGTAGAAACAGTCCTTCCCTCTGTCTGAGAATGACTGAAACTTGGACCAAAAAGTAGTCTCCACTAAATGAAGTTGAAATACCAGAACTTCCTTAGTATACTTCCATGGTACAGCAGTGATTCTTCTTTACTGGGGCAGTTTTGTTCCCCAGGGAAATCTGGCAGTGTCTGGAGACGTGTTTGGCTTTCACAGCGCGGGTGGGTACCATTGGCACCTAGTGGGTAGAAGCCAGGGATGCTGCTGAACATTCTGTAATGCACAGGACAGTCCTCCACAACAAAGAATAATCCAGTCCAAAATGTCAGTAGTGCTGAGATTGAGAAACTTTGCCATAAAGGAAGGTATCCAAAGGCTTAGGGAGATTGGAATGTTAGACTGGATTTATCCTGCTCACTCACCCCCTAAATATATCTCCTTCCTTCTGCAGAGCTGTGAGAAGTACATTTGTGAAGGCAGCCCTGCCCTCCTTGAAGAGGTCTATGGTAATGATTTCCTATAAGTCAGAAATGACAGTAGGAATTTCTGGGCTCCCTGAGTTCAGTAGGGATGATGGGATTGTGGGGTGGCAGGGGTCAAGTGGCAGCTTTTAATTGACAAAGACAAGGAAAGCATGATTACTGTAATGGGCAGCAAAGCCTAAGCAGTAATCAAATTAGTCTAAGCCACAAAGATCTTTGGCATTTTGGCTAATTGATCATGTTGTACCTAGAGTTGAAAGCGGTGAGCAGCATGTGAGCAGAAAAGCTCTAGGTCTGGCGAACAGAAATTTGACTTGAATCATCACAATAGAGAGCCATGGCCCCTCAACCAATTCCCAAATTTGAGTCAATTCATAGACCCAAAGTCCCTGGAATAAACGAGAGGTCAGATCTCCTTAAGGAAAGACCCTGTTTCACAGCCAAAAATGCAAATACTATAAATCCTCCTTCTAGTCTTCCCCAAAGGCACCTATGACTATTCAGCAAGAGGAAGGGGAAATAATCACATTTGTGGGACATTGTTAAATATTGATTTTGAATTGATACTAATGCCTGGAGAATTAGTGTGTTCTACCAGTCGAACTAGGAGTTTATGGTCAGGTCAGTGGAGTTTTGCTGTGGGTCTATTTTACAGTTGGTCTGGTGGGTCCCTGAACCTACCTTATGTTATTTCCCCAGTTATGGAATGTGTAATCGGAGTAGACATACTCAGCAGCTATCAGAATCCTCACATTGGTTCCCTGACCTGGGGAGTAAGGGCTATTATGGTAGGGAAAGCCAAGCGTAAGCCATTGTTGGTTTTTTAAAAAATTAATTAATTAATTAACTTATTTTTGGCTGCATTGGGTTTTCATTGCTGTGTGCAGGCTTTTCTCTAGTTGCAGTGAGTGGGCTTCTCATTGTGGTGGCTTCTCTTGTTGCTGAGCACAGGCTCTAGGCACGTGGGCTTCAGTAGTTGTGGCACGTGGGCTCAGTAGTTGTGGTATGTGGGCTCAGTAGGTACGGCACACGGGCTCAGTTGCTCTGCAGCATGTGAGATCTTCCCGGACCAGGGCTCAAGCCCGTGTCCCCTGCATTGGCAGGCGATTCTTAACACTGTGCCATCAGGGAAGTGCAGTGTAAGCCATTCTAAATGCTTCTATTACCAAAGCAATACTGCATTCCCAGAGGGATTGTAGAGACTAGTGTCATCATCAAGGACGTTAAAGATGCCAGGGTGGTGATTCCTACCATATCTCCATTCATTTTGCCTCTTCGGCCAGAAGACAGATGGATCTTGGAGAATGATAATGGATTTCTATAAACTTTGCTATAGCAAATCAACACAATTTTTGCTATTTGTTTTGTAGCTATTAATCTGATTGATTGCTTTTTTCTGTATACCTTTTAGTAAAGACCATCAGAAGCAGATTGCTTTCATCTGGCAGGGCCAGCAGTATACTTTCAGTGTTCAGTCTCACGGCTGTGTGAACTCTCCAGCCCTATGCCACAATCTAGTCTGCAGGACCTTGATCATCTCTCTATTCCACAAGACATCACATTAGTCCATTACATTGATTTGATCTATCAAGGGTAAATTGTTACTATACTGGTAGGGTAAGGAGGAGTGTGTCTGGAATGTATACCTTCTGGGGCCTTTCTTAGTAGTCCCATGTCATGTGATTAAAGAAGGTGGAAAATTATACCCAGTACAGGAAGGATCATTAATGACCCAGATCATTTCAGAATGTTTGGGTCAACAACCGAGTCAAATAACCATGAATAGCCAAGGTGCTTTCGGAAGGCAAAGGGTGGATGAAATGGCCAGTGGAAAAACATAGTTATAATATGAGTCATGATCATCCGACCAGTTGCAGAAACAAAGACTGTGATAGTTATGAATATTTTTTCCTTTTTTTTTCTTTCTTTTTTTTTTTTTTGCGGTATGCGGGCCTCTCACTGTTGTGGCCTCTCCCGTTGTGGAGCAACAGGCTCCGGACGTGCAGACTCAGTGGCCATGGCTCACGGGCGTAGCCACTCCGCGGCATGTGGGATCTTCCCGGACCGGGGCACGAACCCGTGTCCCCTGCATTGGCAGGCGGACTCTCAACCACTGCGCCACCAGGGAAGCCCCCTTATTTTGATATGAATACACGTGTATACAGTCACCAATTTCTTTTTCTATTTGCCATTTCCATTTACCTACCATCTAATATAAGAAGTGTTAATAGTAGTTAACTTTATATCTCAGGATTTAAGTCACAGGATATCAAAAGGGAATACGACTCAGCTCAAAGATGAATCAACATCACCCAAAGATGGACAAAGGGATTTTGTATCCTCTTTTAGGAGAATTAGCATGTTTTTGGTTATACAAGGGATGGTTGATTTTACCATTGTCTTTATTTGAAGGTAAGTGTATTAAAAGAGGTGTATATGGATGCCAGGTTGACAAGGGATAGACAGTGACGGATTTGTAATGTATCAACTTAGCTAAACTATAACTAGATTTTCCAGAATTCCTTTCCTTTCATTCCCTGAAAAATTGCACGAGAGACATTTTGCGTGAGATTTAGAAGGTAGAAGTAAAGCAGCCAGCAAATTCTTTTGACCTGGGAAGGCACTGTTGCAGCATAGTTTTGCTTATCTGCTGGCCCACCTGGTTGGCATGGGGCAGCAATCAGGAGTGCAGCTACCATGGCTCCTGCTGAATTTCCTCTTTCACCTTCTCTGACTCCTTGGCCAGGTCCATGTTTAGCTCCCGGATGAGGGGCATCGGCTTTTTCTATGTCACTCCATCATCAAATTTGGAGGTTTAGAGATGGTGAGAAATCCATAAGGATTCCAGACCATCCTGTGTGTTTCAGCTCATCCTTGCAGGTTCCAGATTTTTCTTGCTTCTCTCACTTTTCATCTACCTTTTCTAACTGCTTGCTCTGCCCACTTCAGGTCCCAGATCCTGATACATAAGAAAGAGCCTCACAGTTACATAAGTCCAAATACCTAAAATAAATCTCTTACTATATGTTACTACTCCTAGTTCTGCAGTCTCATCAAACACTGATTGATTCACCTACCATACCAAACTGTGTCGAGTTCCACTAACATGCCATGCTTCTGTGCCTTTGTTTTTTCCCCTCTGCCTAGAATCCTGACCTCCTTCTCTGCTTAGTTAATTCCTCTACATTCTTGGCTCATCACATGGTTTGCATCCTTAGAGAAGCTTCCCTGGACTCTCAGCCCTAGTTAAACGCCTCTCCTTTGTGCTTGTGCTTCCATAGCAACCTGTGTTAATCTTATTGTAGTACCTCTGACTTTATATTGTCTTCTCCTGCTCTTGATCTCTCTCCCTAAGGAGATTAAACTAGTTGAGGGTAGAGAGTTAGTTTCACTGCTGTATCTCTAGACCAGCACAGTGCCTTGCACATAGCTCATGCTCATAAGTGTTTTCTGAATGATGAAAATGAGGCCTGTTACTTCATAGTAAAGTTTCTTGTTGTATTTTGTTCAAGACTCATATCACAGTTCATAGTAAAAAGATAATTACCATATAACTCCCTATAGGCAAGCCCCACACCCATCATCCCATAATCCTAGACCTACTCAGGCTGATTCTACTTTGCACAGCATGAAGGGGAGCTAAGAACATTGTGACTTGTTCTCATTAATGTAGACAAAAATTTTAGGTAATTTAGGTCCCAAAGTAGACTCCTTGTTAGAACTAAATGATTTAGCTGTTGATATAACCTGAATCAACCAGATAATTTTATACCCACTCTTTGGATTTGACTGTGTAAATATTGCTTAATTTATAGACAATAAAAAATTACCTATTGCTCAGGCTTGGAATAGCTGAGTTATACAGGGTATAAACTATTCACTGCTCCTTTCACTATAGAGGATAACAGAAACTATAACCTAGTTCTCCACTGGGTTTTTCTTTTTTTAGACTGAAGTATAATTCACATACAATTTGAATTTATGTTGTACAACATAATGATTCTATATTTGTATGTATTGTGAAATGATCACAGTAAGCCTAGTTAACATCTATTACCATATATACAGAATTTTTTTCTTGGGATGAGAACTTGTAAGATCTACCCTCGTAGCAACTTTCAAATATGCAATACAGTATTATTGACTATAGTCACCATGCTGTACATTACATCCCCAGGACTCATTTATTTTATAACTAGAAGTCTGTACCTTTTGCCTACTGAGTTTTTTTTTTTCAGTGCTTAAAATACCAAGCGATTAAGCCTATAACTGGGCAGCAACCTCAACCAAGTGAAGATCACTGTCTTTCTTACCCTTCCTCCTCCATTACATCATCTTGACCCAATATTCATGAATGAATATGAATGAATAAATAAAAATACTAATATGAATGGATGAATAAATCAAAATACTCTCAAAGACAGCTGAACACAAGATACAAATTAAGCAGGTTACCTAGAGTCACAGCTCTTACAACAAATCCTTGGGCAGCAACTCTCATGTGAATAAGATGATGGACATTTTCTGATCTCTTCTGTATTTTAACTTGTAAAGACCATAGGACCCCACAGTCATAAAGCCTGCTATCCCTGTGAATTAAAAAAGTAGGGATTATATAAATAGCAGGCTAAAATTCCCAAGAGCTTAGAGAATTGAATAAGAGACTGTGCAAGGGATCAGTACCTGGAAGATAAGCAGGCAAGATACCAAAGGATACTTCACTCATGGATTCAATATTTGCAGTTTTGACTCTTCCCGGAAAAACCTGAATTGTATACTATAGTAACTTGTCTAGTAATTTCTAATTTTCCTGAGGCATGGCATAGGCTGCAAGCCTTTTATTTGGGGCAAGTCACTTAACCAGTGAGTGAACCAACCAAAGTCTCAGCATTCATAGCTTTTGGGTGTTTGGCTTTATTCCTCTCTACTTGTTATTAAATAAGGAGTAAATCTAGTAAAGTGGAAGAAACTTTACTCTTCTGTGAAAATGAGATATTAAATTTTAATGAGAGGTAAAAAGGTCTGAATAGTTGCATGAGAAGTATGTGACTCTGGGAAGAACTGTGATTCTAGAAAATTCCAGAAGCCCATACAAATATTTCTGTATTCACTACATATGTCAAGGGGTGAATATACTGCTGGGACAACCAAGATTCTGTGTAATTCACTCTAAAACAGAAAACTGAATAGGAATCAACTGAATAGGAAAAATTCTAGAAAGCGATTTGAAACACTGTGAGAACTTAACCCATGACAAATCAAGATAACCAAATACCAGATAAGGGAAAAACTATTACAACTAACTTGGATTTGTATCTTACACCAGACCCTACAAAAAAAGTCTGGATGGGTTAGCATTAAATATGAAAATAAAAATATCAACAAAATCTAGAAGAAAATAGAACAGCATATTTATAACATCTAAAAGGGGGTAAGGTAGATTTAAAAAAACTGACAAGGACAAAAATGCTATATTTTGACATAAGAGTAAAGGAAACTTTTGCATAATAAAAGTGTGGCTCTATTCTGGGGGATCTCTCTTCTCTCCTATTGATTTATGCATCTATCCCTTCATCAATACCACACTGTTGATTACTCTATATATTAAGCCTTAGTATCTGGTAGGAGTGATTCCTTCCACTTAATACTTTTTTTAAAAATTACTATTAAAGGTATCCATCCTTGAGATCAACTGCCTTTTTTTTAAAAAAATTTATTAAATTTGTTTATTTTTGGCTGCATTGGGTCTCCGTTGCTGTGTGCGGACTTTCTCTAGTTGTGGTGAGTGGGGACTACTCTTCGTTGTGGTGTGCAGGCTTCTCATTGCAGTGGCTTCTCTTGTTGTGGAGCATGGGCTCTAGGCACCTGGGCTTCAGTAGTCGTAGCACGCCATCTCAGTAGTTGTGGCTCGCGGGCTCCAGAGCACAGTCTCAGTAGTTGTGGTGCACGGACTTAGTTGCTCCACGGCATGTGGGATCTTCCCGGACCAGGGCTCGAACCTGTGTCCCCTGCATCGGCAGGCGGATTCTTAACCACTGCACCACCAGGGAAGCCCTACTTGATACTTTTTCTTAAAAGAGGTAGTCTTAGCCATTCTAGAACTTTTGCCTTTATGTAAATTTTAGAATAAGCTTGTTTCTGTCTACAAAAAAACATTGCTGGGATTTTGATAGGAATTACAGTAAACCGATAGATGAGTTTGGGGAGAACTGACATCTTTATTGAGTCTTACAATCCACGAACACAATAGTCTCTACATTTATTTAGTTCTTCTTTGATTTCTTTCATTAGCATTTTGTATTTTTTCAGCATACAGATTCTGTACATGTTTTGTTAAGCTTATACCTAATCATTTCATTTCTTCAGAGCGATTGTAAATGGTCTTATGTCTTTAATTTCAGTTTCCATATGTTTGTTGTTAGTATATAGAAATGCAGTTGATGTTTATGGACGATAGCAAGTTTTGATTAACTATTGGCACATGTTTGTCTCTGTGGGTGGGTGAGGATATATTTATTCTCTCAGAGTATACTTAATAAGTGGAAATAAGAATCAGAGTAAATAATCACATTTATATGTATATTTTGTAGGCTGATTAGTAATAAGTGAAATTGAAATAAAAATGACAAACATAAAAACAGCAAAAAACAAATAACAGTTAAAACAACAATGGCAGGTACATTGAGAAACAGGTACAATGCTGAAAGCTCTGTAAGTTTAGCCAAATCTTTCTGGAAAGAACTCTGGAGACATATAATAAGTGACATTAAACTGAACATGCTTCCTGCCCTGGAAATTCTACTTTCGGGACATACTCCAAGGAAGTAAGCAAAAGAAAAGTCAAGAAGTTGACACAAAGATGTTTGTGGCTACATTATGTATGAGGAAAAACTAAACCCAAATGGCCCAAACAGAGGGAAAACTACCATAGCTATAAAAAAATTACAAGTATAGGAAGTACTAATATACAGAAATGTACTATGAAATGTTACGTGAAAGAAGCAAAAACAAATAATCTATCAACACAGAGTTTAAATACATATAATGTACACACAGACCTTAGCAGTATTCATAAGATTTTAAATAATATGAATAAATTATAATGACAGAAGTTAAGACAACAAATTAAAATGTTCTGTAAATTATTGACAGGATACTCTCTCCTGCAGCAGAAAATACTTAGGAGATATTCTTAATAAAACAATAGCTAACAAACTATTCAATAATATATATACAAATTTGATCAGATATTTTTCTAGCAAAAACTTGGCTCTCTTCCCTTATCAAATCAATACTCTGTTCTAACTGAAATTTGTTTTGTTTCTTTTAGAGATTAAAGTCAGCACCTTTACTGTTTTCCATACGATGTCTCTGTAGTTTGAATATAACTGAATTTAGCTGGAAACACTTTTCTCTTTCTACTTTAATCACGCTAAATGTCTCTGGAAAAACAATTTAATTTCCAACAGGCACAGTGATTAATCTCTGTTCATTACAGTGATCTGCTCAAGTGGCACTGAGTCCTTGAATTGTTTTGTTAGTTAAAAATGCTAAAGAAGAGGAATAAATCACTACAAAATTATTTGCCTCCATTTCTTGTGCCATTACAAGCCTTAATCAAATTAAGTGGAACTTTCAAACACAGAATATTACTATAAAGTAAAATTTTGATTCTTTTTGATATGTGAATAATGACACATAAAGTTGCTAGGTTTGTAGTGGTATTTAATGGAAACATATGACTTATACCTCTTTAGAGGCTTTTGTGGAATTAATCACAAAGTTATGTACGTCTGATTTGTATATATATTTTTAAAACAATTTTATTGAAGTATATTTGTTTTACAATGTGTGTTAATTTCTGCTGTACAGCAAAGTGATTCAGTTATAATATATATATATATATTCTTTTTCATACTGTTTTCCATGATGGTTTACAACAGGATATTGAGTATAGTTCCCTGTATGTACATCTGATTTAAATAAGTTATTTTAATAGTTTCCAGACAAAGAAAGCACAAGGAAAGAGGCATGGCTGAAGTATTAAATAATAATGCCTAGGGCAGCTAAAGCTTCTGAAAGAGAAAGAAGAGAAAGCTTAGATTTTAAAACATAATATTGGTGCTTAGATTTTGTGGGCTTTTTTTTAAGTCCACATACATATAGTATTTGTTTAAAATGTAAACATATCAAATATGTGTTGGGAAAGGATAAAGAGGCTAAGACTCCAGGTATAATTAGAATAATACTTCTTTAACCTGGAGTTTACTTAACCATCAACCTCAGCATCTGGAACACATCAGGAAGCCAGCAACAAGCCACAGAGCATGAACACCACAGAGTTCATGCTCTCAAGTGTACAGGTAGGCCCAGGCTTTCATTCAGAGCTTCTTTACTCTGAATTGACTCATGGTTCTTTTAAGCGTGGGTATCTAGCTTCTGACACCACAGAACATTAGAAGCAGAAGTTTCTGATGGTACCCAACAGTAATGGAAGAAACAGAAAAGTCTATAAGCATCGACACAAGCACTTAAAGTTTGGAGTTGAGGGCTTCCCTGGTGGCGCAGTGGTTGAGAGTCTGCCTGCCGATGCAGGGGACACGGGTTCGTGCCCCGGTCCGGGAAGATCCCACATGCTGCGGAGCAGCTGAGCCCGTGAGCCGTGGCCGCTGAGCCTGCGCGTCCAGAGCCTGTGCTCCGCAACGGGAGAGGCCACAACAGTGAGAGGCCTGCGTACCACACACACACACACACAAAAAGTAAAGTTTGGAGTTGATAAGAGAACAAAGAGACATGTAAATCTTCCTCAACTCATGACAGGGTTACACCTTGAAAAACCCATCATAAGTTGAAAATACTGTAAGTCAAAAATTCATTTAATACACCTCACCTATTGAACATTATAGCTTAGCCTAGCCTACTTTAAATGTGCTTGGAATACTTACATTAGCCTGTAGTTAGGCAAAATCATCTAACACAAAGCCTATTTTATAATACAGTGTTGAATATCTCATGTAATTTATGGAATATTGTACTGAAAGTGAAAAACAGGATGGTTGGGTACAGAGTGGTTGTTAAGTGTATTAGTTGTTTACCTTCATGATGGCGAGGCTGACTGGGAGCTGCCACTGCCCAGCATCATAAGAGAGTATCATACTACATATTGCTAGGCCAGGAAAAGATCAAAGTTCAAAGTATGGTTTCTATTGAATGCGAATTGCTTTGTCATCATCTTAAAGTCAAAAAGTCGTAAGTTGAGGACCGTCTATATACATCTCAATAGTCTCTAATAGGCTCTGTATAATAATAAACTGATACTGCAGCTGCTGATTCTGAGTCATTACAGAAAAGTTACAGTCCATTCAATCAATCCTATTTAGATTGGCTGGGAACTAGTAATTTTTGATAGACTGCTAATGAAAATGGATTAAACAGAATAAAAAATTGATGCTTCATAATAATAAGAGTTAATATTTACTGAGGATTTGCCATACACTAGAAACTGTGTTGAAAGTGTAACTCATTCATGCATAGAAAGGGTTAGCTCCAAGTATCTGAAAACATTTAATTATATAAACTATTTCAATACTCAAAGATACTGGGTAAGGCATTATTGTTTTATTAGAAACAGCTTCACAGTATCCAGTCAAGGCTTGTACTTACCTACAGGGACAAAGGGGGAATCTCTAGATTTCCTGATCAGTCGGGATAACAGGCCTTCGTCCTCATCTGCTGACCGCTGGTTATCTGAAGACATTTTTCTCTCTAGTAACAGTAGGGGATAATCAAAAAGAATCTGTTTCCGTCTCCCAATATACTCTTATGTGTTCTTCTGTCTTCATTTGCTTGACATGCTTGTCTGCTCAACTGAAATAAACAGTTATCTTTCCTTCACCCTTTGCATTGTGGAGTCCTTTCATTTTGTTTAGGGGTGGAGGAAAGAAAAATATACAAAGAGGTAAATGATGATCAGATTCCATGAATACAGAGTAAAAACACAGATCATAAGTGTGTTATTCAGTCCCCTTTCACTGCTTGGCGTTTGAAATCATTGGGAATCTCAGAACTTCCGCAAACAGTAAGAACACAGAGTTTCTTTCACAAAATATAGTTTTAAAGAATGATGGCAGTGCCAACATAGGCAAAAATACCTCCAGATTTACAGGTGATGGGAGAATGATCACTCCAGTGCTGCAGAACGTGTAGGGCATTATAAAGCACCTACCATGTACCAGATGCTATGCTAGACAATGGAAATAATCTTCCTTGTCTGCACAGGATGAATGAGGAAACTAGCAAGAGCAACTATAATCACAATCAACATGGTCTGGCAGTACCTCAGTTTGTTATCCGTGCAACCCTCTATTTTCAACCCTCAAAATTCAAATATGGAGGCTTCATTCTACAAAGCAGCTTTCATCAGAAAATGTAAGCCGGTAAGTGGAAGAAGCACAATACCGTTGGCGTACTCCACCACCTGCAGCCTGTTTCCTGGTGTTCGTTCAGCTGGAAGCCATAGATCAGAACAGGCTTTGTTAGGCCAGGACACGTTTACGTGCAATTTCCAGCTAATTGATAATGGGAAAGCCCAGAACCCTCCCCTCACCAAGGGGGCGTGGCCGGCTGGTATTGGCCATAGCCCAGGCTGGAAACTCACTGGTAGCGGCACCTGGACCACAAACAAGAGGCTTTCCAAGATAATATTCAAGGAAACATTAGGCTTTTGAAGAAGATGCCTTTCCTTCTCCCTTCATAAGGACGCTCCCAACTTCCCTCTGTGGCTTTGAATCCCGCTACCCAACTCCTGGGCCCGAAATTGAAGGGAAAGTTGGTGCAGGGTTACAACACTGGGTTTGTAGGTGGGAGTGGGGGTTAGCCTTATGAGGCCAAGATTCTTGTGGTTTTTTAGTGCGCTTGCCAGAGGGGCGCCCACTGTGGCCGGGATCCGGGACTGAGACGCCGCGAGCCTGCACCAGCTTGCCTGATGGCCAGACCGTCGCACCTGGCGGCTCCACGGGAGCCTAGAGCTGCACGCGCGCCCTGCCGGGAAGGACGTGATGTCACTACGGCCCCGGCCAATCCGAGGGCAGGGCGGGCCGGCACGGGAAGACGCCGAGCGAGCTGCTGCCCTGCGCCTGCGCGCGGAGATTGAGGCTAATCTGGCTTTCCCGGAGGGTGGTGGTGGACGACCCCTTCGCTGCTGTTGTGAAGGTGCACCCTTGAGCCCCTTGAGGCCTCGAAGAAGTTCGGACTCACCGCCTCCGTCTGACTGCAGCCACAGAGACCTCAGGATGAGGGCAGAGGACCAGGTAGCGTTCACGCTTTTTCCTTGTAACTTTTAATTATTAAATAATTTTAGATTTACAGAAAAGTTCCCAGAATAGTACCCCAAAAATGTGTATCTGACACTTAGATACCCCTTTGTTAACACTGCGCCACATTTGCTTTATCATTTCTCTCTAGATGCGATTTCTTCCTTCCTTCCTTCCTTTATATGAACCACCTGAGAGAAAGCTGCACCGATAGGCCTATACCCCTACATACGTTGTGTGCATTTGGGGAATTCTCTTACATAACCATAGTACAATGAGCAAAATCAGGAAATTAACATTGCTATAATACTATAAGGTAAAGATTTTATTCATAGTTCACCAGTGGTCCCAATAATCCTTAATAGCAAAAAAGAATTTTTTTTCTGGTCTAGGATCCAATCAAGATTACGTATTGCATTTGGTTGTCAAGTCTCTTTAGTGTCCTTTAATCTGGAACATTTCCTTAGTCGGTGTATTACTCAAGGTTCTCCAGAGAAACAGAATTGATAGTATATATATATATATATATATACATATATATATACATACATATATGTATACCTGATCGAAGATATGCATATATACATATGTATGAGGAGATTTATTGCAGGAATTGGTTCACGTGGTAATGGGGACAGAGAAGTCCCAGGATCTGCCACCTGCAAGCTGGCAATGGTCTAAGTCCCTGTCCAAGTCCAAAGGCCCGAGAAGTAGGAGCACTGATGTCTGAGGGCTGGAAAAGGTAAATGTCCCAGCAGCTCAGGCAGAGAGCAAATTCACCCTTATTCTGCCTTTTTGTTTTACTCAGGCCCTCCATGGGTTGGATGGTGCTAACCCGCATCAGTGAGGGTGATCTTTATTCAGCCTATCAATTCAAATGCTAATCATCTGAAAATACCCTCACAAACCCATCCAGAAAAAATGTTTTACCAGCTTTTTCGGCATCCCTTAGCCCAGCTAAGTTGTCGCACAAAATTAACCATCACAGTTGTCTTTTGTCTTTCATGACCTGATACGTTGCCAATGCAGGCCAGTTATTTTGTAGGATGTCTCTAACTTTAAGTTTTATCTGATGCTTTCTCATCATTAGATTGAGGCTATGCATTTTGGCAGAATATCACGGAAGTGATGTTGTGTCTTCTTGGCTTGTAATATCAGGAGGCACATAAAGTCAGCTTGTGTGGTGGTAGTAACTTTTATTCGATATTCTGCTGATAGATGTCTAACAGCTGGATCTGCAGGGAAAAAAACCCCTTGTTGGTAATATTTGCCGATTTCCATGGTATAAATACTCCCACCCTGGTCGATTTCAAGCTGCTGTCGTATAGTCACTGCACGCAAAATTGGGAAGAGATGTGACTCTTCTGAGTTGGTGTGAAGTTGGCTCTAGCATACCACTGCTTTGATCACTTGGTTTAAGGTGGTGTCTGCCTGTTTCCCCACTGTAACGTTACTATTTTTTCCCTTTATAATTAATAAGTATTTTGTGAGGAGATACTTTTTTTTTTTTTTTTTTTTTGATACGCGGACCTCTCCCTACTGTGGCCTCCCCCGCCGCGGAGCACAGGCTCTGGACGCACAGGCCCAGCGGCCATGGCTCACGGACCCAGCCGCTCCGCGGCATGTGGGATCCTCCCGCACCGGGGCACGAACCCACATCCCCTGCATCGGCAGGCGGACTCCCAACCACTGTGCCACCAGGGAAGCCCGAGATACTTTAATATTATATAAATATGCTGTTATTTATCAGATTTTTACCCATTAATTTCAGCACACAGTGATGATCCTTGCCTGGATCAATTAATATTATGTTTCCCAAATGGTAATTTCTGAAATCCATCATTCCTTTTATATTTTTCAATTGGTATTCTATAAGAAATCGCTTTCCCTCCTTCCCTGTTTAATTATTCATTTATTTATACCAGTTTGGACTCATGAATTTCCATTTTATTCAGTAGCTTATAATTCATACCATAATTTATTTATTTATTTATTTTTTATTTATTTATTTTTTAAAATTAATTAATTAATTTATTTATGGCTGTGTTGGGTCTTCGTTTCCGTGCAAGGGCTTTCTCTAGTTGTGGCAAGCAGGGGCCACTCTTCATCGTGGTGCGCAGGCCTTTCATTATCGCGGCCTCTCTTGTTGCGGAGCACACGCTCCAGACGCGCAGACTCAGTAATTGTGGCTCACGGGCCCAGTTGCTCCGCGGCATGTGGGATCTTCCCAGACCAGGGCTCGAACTCGTGTCCCCTGCATTGGCAGGCAGATTCTCAACCACTGCGCCACCAGGGAAGCCCCAATTAATTTATTTTGATGGCCAAATTGTCCTAGATTTGGCTAGTGGGAGCTCCTTCAAGCAGGCTCTCCTATGTCCTATTGACATGACACTGTCATTCTTCAAACACTTCTTTAAATCCTGGTGTAGCAAGTTGTTCCAGGCTGAACGTGTAATTTTTCTCCCCTAGCCCTGAAATCAGCCATTTCTTCAAGGAGTCCTGATTCACTTTAGTGGAGAATGATACTTAGAAACCAAGTTTTGGGAACTAGAGGTTCTCATTGTTACTGGAGTGTCATTACTTCTAGGTCCTCTTAGCAGAGTTAGGATTTATATCTCTCTATGTTTTTATTCCTATAAAGCTTTGTCCAAACCATGAATTCATAGTAATATCTTCAGTTTCAGTCTTCCCCTTTTCATATTTGTGATTTCTTTTTCTGACTGTGAGAGACCTGACTCCCACTATCCTCAGTATATTCATCTGCTTTATTCTAGACAAAAAAAGTAGTTTCAGAATTCCTAACCCATACCTCTGTGAAAAACAAGCCTATGAAATATTTTTTATAGTTCTTTTTGTCAAAGGAATACAGTCAAAATACTGTCTTCAAAAATCACTTGGATTGAAAACATGTCTACACAAAAACTTGTTCACAAATGTTCATAGCATCTTTATTCACAATAGCCAACAAGTGGAAACAACCCAAACATCCATCATTTGATGAATGGAGAAATAAAATGTGATATCTGCATCAATGGAATATTATTTGGCCATAAAAAGAAATGAAGTACTGATACATGCTACATCATAGATAAACCTCAAAAACATGCTAAATGAAATAAGCCTGTCACAAAAGACCACATATTGTGTGATTCCATTTATGTGAAATGTCCAGAATAGGCAAATCTTTAGAGACAGAAGGTGGTTGCCTAGGGCTGCGAGACAGTGGGGGCGGGGAAATAGGGAGTGACTATTAATGGGTACAAAGTCTTTTTAGGGGGTGATGAAAAGTGCTTTAAAAATAGATTGTGGTCACACAACTCCGAATATACTGAAAACCACTGAATTGTATACTGTAGGTAAATGTTATGATATATGAACTATATCTCAAAACTGTTGTTAAAAAAATAAGTTACTTGGATTAATTTTTTCTTCCTCCATCAATGTGGTTAGCACTCATTTGAAATACATTTCGGCGTTTTTTTATTTTTCCATTTTAGAGGTCCCTCCAGTTTTCATTTTATTTTATGTAAGACATTCTTTTACCTATTTTATATAAAACATAAACATGATTCCAAAAATCAAAACTATACAAAGGGTGGGCTTCCCTGGTGGCGCAGTGGTTGAGAGTCCGCCTGCCTATGCAGGGGACACGGGTTCGTGCCCCGGTGCGGGAAGATCCCACATGCCACGGAGTGGCTGCGCCTGTGAGCCATGGCCGCTGAGCCTGTGCGTCCGGAGCCTGTGCTCCGCAACGGGAGAGGCCACAACAGTGAGAGGCCCGCGTACCGCAAAAAAAAAAAAAAAATAATAAAATAAATATTAAAAAAATTGTGTGAAAAAAGAGAGTAAATCCTGAGAGTTCTCATCATAGGAAAAAGATGTTTTCTATTTCTTTAATTTTGTATCTATGAGATGTTGGATGTTCACTAAACTTATTGTGGTAGTCATTTCATGATATATGTAAGTCAAATTATTATGCTGTACCCCTTAAATTTATACATTGCTGTATGTCAGTTATATCTCAATAAAACTGGAAGGGAAAAAAAAAAGAGCCCAGGGCTAGCCTTGCAGAGCCTGGGAGGAGACCTCATCCTCACGTCAGTAGAGGGGATCTGTGAGGTTCTTAAATTTCTGATCCCACTCAGTGAGTTTTTTTTCCTTTCCTTTTGAGAAATGAGTTGTGAAGTTGTCTGGTGAGAGGAGCAGTATGGAAACGAGTGTGGTGAAGGTTTGTCCTTTGTGTCAGCTGAGGGTAAACTACAACATTCCTGAGCAGCACTGAAAGTCTAACTCAGATTTTGTAGTTTCTCCTGAGAGCAGCAACAGAGGAAGCAAATGGCTGGGATCAGTTGTTCATTTAACAAAGATTAATTGAGTGCTGCAGATAGAAAGATGAGTGAAGACAAGTGCCCTGTCCTCAAGAAGCTTAGAGTCAAGTTGGGGAGATGGGTGAGTAAAGCAGCCTCACATGAGAACACATTGAGATGGTGGGAGGAAAAGGCATGGGACCCAAAATCAAACTGGAGAGTTAAGAAAGTTCTCTTTGGAGAAAGTGACTTATGGGATGTTTTAGAGAACTGGTAAATTTTAGATGAAGGTAAAATTCATCTAAATTCATGAGGTAGGGGTGTTCTGGGCAGAGGGGACAGCTTGTAGAAAGGCACAGAAGCAAACAGCCAGGCGGCTCAATGTGTAGAATCGGGTGGGAGTGGCTTGTAGAGGATGGAGCTATAGGGCTAGTAGGGCCAGATCATGAGAGCCTTGACTTTCATTTATTTATTTAAATTTTTTTTTATTGGAGTATAGTTGATTTACAATGTTGTGTTAGTTTCAGTTGTACAGCAAAGTGAATCAGGTATACATACATACATATATATAATATATATATCCGTTCTTTTTCAGATTCTTTTCTCATATAGGTTATTACAGACTATTGAGTAGAGTTACCTGTGATATACAGTAGGTCCTTGTTAGTTATTTTTTTTAAAGATTTATTTTTAAAAATTTATTTATTTATTTTGGCTGTGCCGGGTCTTAGTTGTGGCACGTGGGATCTTCGTTGCAACATGCGGGACCTTATAGTTGTGGCATGCAAACTCTTAGTTGCAGCATGCATGTGGGATCTAGTTCCCTGACCAGGGATCGAACCTGGGCCCCCTGCATTGGGAGCCCAGAGTCTTACCCACTGGACCACCAGGAAAGTCACAGTTATCTATTTTATATATCGTAGTGTGTATATGTTAATCCCACTCTCCTAATTTATCACTTCCTCTCACATTTCCCCTTTGGTAACCATATGTTTGATTTTGAGATCTGTGAGTCTGTTTCTGTTTTGTAAATAAGTTCATTTGTATCATTTTCTTAAGATTCCACATATAAGTGGTATCATATGTTGTCTTTCTGTATCTGACTTACTTCACTCAGTATGATAATCTGTGTCCATCCATGTTGCTGCAAATAGCATTATTTCATTCTTTTTCATGGCTGGCTAATATTCCATTGCATATATATACCACATCTTCTTTATACATTCATCTGTCGATGGACATTTAGGTTGCTTCCATGTCTTGGCTATTGTAAATAGTGCTGCAGTGAGCATTGGGGTGTATGTGTCTTTTCGAATTATGGTTTTCTCTGGATATATGCCCAGGAGTGGGATTGCTGGATCATATGGTAGCTCTATATTTAGTTTTTTAAGGAACCTCCATACTGTTCTCCATAATGGTTGTACCAATTTACATTTTCACCAACAGTGTAGGAGGGTTCCCTTTTCTCCAAACCCTCTTCAGCATTAACTGTTTGTAGATTTTTTGATGATGGCCATTCTGACCGGTGTGAGGTGATACCTCATTGTAGTTTTGATTTTCATTTCTCTAATAATTAGTGATGTTGAACAGCTTTTTTTAAAAAAATATTAATTAATTAGGTTGCGCCAGGTCTTAGTTGAGGCAGGTGGGCTCCTTAGTTGTGGCTCATGGGCTCCTTACTTGCAGCCTATGGGCTCTTTGGTTGCAGCGGGTGGGCTCGTTAGTTGCGGCTCGCGGACTCCTTAGTTTCGGGGTGTTGAGCATCTTTTCATGTGCTTTTCGGCCATTTGTCTGTCTTCTTTGGAGAAATGTCTATTTAGATCTTCTGCCCATTGTTTGATTGGATTGTTTGTCTTTTTTTTTTTTTTTTTTGGTGGTACGCGGGCCTCTCACTGTTGTGGCCTCCGCACAGGCTCTGGACGCGCAGGCTCAGCGGCCATGGCTCACGGGCCCAGCCGCTCCGCGGCATGTGGGATCTTCCCGGATCGGGGCACGAACCCGTGTCCCCTGCATCGGCAGGCGGACTCTCAACCACTGCGCCACCAGGGAAGCCCTGTTTGTCTTTTTGATATTGAGCTGCATAAGCTGTTTTTGTATTTTGGTGATTAATTCCTTGTCAGTCACTTTGTATGCAAATATTTTTTCCCATTCTGTGGGTGGTCTTTTCATTTTCGTTTTGTTTATGGTTTCCTTTGCTGTG